AGCATTTCTTTTCCATAAAAGGACAGTAATGAACACAATTTACAGCCTTGTTTCCCTCTTTTAGATAATGCCTATGAGAAAAAGTTTTACATTGAATGTCCCACAGACACCAACATTTCTCTACCCTTACAGAAATCACCCTGACATTCTCTGAAAACTAAGTCCTATTGACAGCCCTGTTGATCCCAGACCTTCCCTACCAGTCACCAAGATTAAAAACTCTGGGGTCCACACTTAGCTAGGACACTGCACAGTCAGGGTTGTAAGAGGTACTGGTTTTTGCAGTATTCTTTTCCAATCTGCAAAGGCTGTAGCAAACAGAAGAGTAAGTTACGGCTGCATTGCTATGGGTGCTTAATGGGAGGGAGTCTTGTAACAGAGGATGAGGCAACAGGTTGTTTCCTAAAAGACACTCACCTTCCACATCTGCTGCTTCAGTCATCCTTAATTCAGCCACGGCAAGACCAGCTCACTCTTACAGATCAGGAGGCTCAGGCAAAGCAATGCAGTTCTGCTTCAAGAGCTGCTATCACACGTTTCGAGGAGCCAGACTCCAACACGGACATGCTGCTGCAGAGGAAACCAGGAGAAGGAGCCATAAACTAAGAGAGAAAGAAGAAGAAATGAATGAGGACAGAGAAAAGACTAAGGATGGTACTAGAACAGAAAAACAGGTATGGCTTAGCAGCAACATCAAGGAACATCAGCAAGCAGTGCCCACTCTTGATCAGCAACACAGGGGTGCACTTCAGTTCATGGAGACTTAAAGAGTTTTGACAGATACATGCATATAGATTTAGAGAACACAGCTGAAACCATAAGGAAAACAGGCTTCAGAAAGAAAAATCAATATAGAGAGCGAGAGTCATGGTATCTTTTTTATTTGAAAGACAGCTATCATAGCAAAGCTAGGACCAAATTAAACCCTGTTCTGTGTCTTTCCCTATGGACAAGGTAAAGGGGAGAAAAGCATTCATGCCCATGACATTTGTTTTTGCAAGCCAGTTTCCTGAAGAACTGGGTAATATAAAGCATTGCAGAGGAAAAGTAGAAAGACCACAGACAAAAATACAGATGGACAATCCTATAGTCAACCTGTATTTCTACATTTATTTATCTTGGTTTTGAGCTAGATAAATCCTAAGAGATACCTAAGCCTCTGGATGTCTCACAGAAAAGATGATTCATAGCACCAGTGCCTTTGTGAACAAAATTGACACGACTTACTTAGTAATTCGGTTATAACTCTTAGATGTAAGGCAACCCATGATATCTTTGTGACAAAAATAAATTTAGGAATGAATATACCAAATATTCTGCAGACAAGCCAGTCAATCTCACCCAAAATAGTATAACACATTGAGAGTAAGTAAAAGAATACAGTTCAACTTCTTTGTGTGAGCACAGATTTATATAGTAAAACTGGTAAGAGATGCTGGGTACACAATTGAGTTGGAAGGCAATTAGTTATGGCAAGTCTGAGCTGCTTGTATGTTGGAGGGAAAAAGGCTCGTGCTATAGGAGCAGAAAGGAAAGTTTCTAATGACCCCATATATTTCAGTTTATTTGATAAAATATTTTATATTTAAGTTTGTGAAAAATAAATTGTATAGATTTTATTACTGGTATTATTTGAAACTTTCTTCCATTGTGAAGTGATAAACCCAATAACACTGTTTTTTAATCTGTTCAACTATTAGCTTTTACATATTAATAGTTTAGTAGACCACACACAGCTACCTAGAGACCATGCCCTTACTTTCTCCAAAGGGGCATAAAACTTTGGGGGATCATCGAGCAGCAGTCACTTAAGAGACTGTTGAGAAGGCTTGCCTTATACCCATGCAAAAAGCAGAGAAAGCCTTCAAAGGCCACGTTGCAACTCACTGAAAGATGGTTAGCTGATGACAAGAATTTTTTTTTAAAATGTTAAGGCGGCAGAAATTCTTTCTTTTCTGCAGAGTTTAATCATGGTATTTCACTGTTAACAGGCCTACATTCAGGCATTCCAAGTGTAACAAAGCCAGCTAGTGCTGAATTTGAGCTTGTGAAGGCTGTGAGTAACTGTGAGGGGATGAGGATGCTTCACAGCTTGTCCCCATCCTTTCTCTGTGAGAAAGTATCATGAGACAAGCGTAACCACCTCCTGTGGCTGCAGTTTGTCCCCTCTGTATATACCATACTGGAGACTTTGCTCACCCCATCTGCATAAATCAGTATTTCTCAAATACCTCAGACAGGTCCAAGTGATCTCAGGGAAGGGGCTGATCCTCTGGTACTCTATGTTGTAAGCACCTTTGCAGACCTCTGAAGGGGAACCAGATGAATCAGAGAAGAGGTCTATATGAGCTGGCAAGCAGGACACAGGATAGGGTTTCACATTCCTAGCTGGGACTACGCAGCAGTTGTTTGTCTCACGGGCCTTTAACCCCCCTGGCTGCAGCTCATTCAGCTCCAATACAACAAATGTAACAAGCCCTCCCTCCAACCTAGAATTTGGACATGGGCCATGGAAAGGAGGAGCTAGAGCATATAATAGGGGTTGGGCATTCACAGAATGGAAGAAAAGATGGATCATCCAAATAGACTAAGTGAATATCAAGAAATATTTTATTGTACATGTAATCAAAGTTTAAAAAACAGACAAGGAGCAAGGGACAGATTTATCTAGCATCTCTTAACTATGCAGGGTACAGAAATACAACTAGTAAAGAATTAGCACATATTAGTACCCTTTGCTCCCCTTCCCTGCCCCAATGAGGGAGGTTATACAAGCGAGATTAGTAATGCTTCAAATCAAGCCTTCTCAGTAATTGCACACTTGAGTTGACATAGTTGAAGTATGTTCAGTTTCATGAGAGAGTATGTGCCTTCAAAATAGTTGTTTATAAACAAAAACACTTCTCTTTAGTGGTTTGTAAGCATTACTCATTCAATACCAGGCGTATACTTAAATGACTAATGATTTAGCAGCCGTAATTGTCCTGTAATATCTGAACTGACACTATCTTTGAGTACATCAATCATAGAAAAGAGATTCCTTAGGTTTAACAATATGTAGTAGAGAATATATTATCTAGTGGCAAAACCGCAACGTAAAGAAGCAGAGAAAGTATTCACAGGGAAAGGGAGGAACTGCATGCTGAGCAAGGGGCACATTGACGAGTCAGAACTAAAAAAGCCGAAGCTCAGGAGTGCTAGCTGCAAAGGAGTTACACCTCAGTATCACTGGTGTAAGTTTCAGGACATATGATTTGAAAAACATGTTATTCATCCCACATCTACATCAATCTCCCAGCTTAACTCATGATCCTAGATCCTCCTCACCTACCACAACAGGACCTTAAACAGTTCTAGCAATGTAATTCATGTTCTGCCTCACACACTACGAGCAAGAAGGCTTTCATTCTCTTCCAGAGCCAGACAGAAAGAAGTCTGAAAGTGAATGCAGAGCATTATCAGGGCTTATTCACCCCCTCAACCACCCTAATTTACAAGGGTGAAGAAGCTTCTGCCTTTAGAGCAGAAAGCTGCAACTTTTTTCCAGTACAAGCTGATTTTCTCTCAATAGCTTAGAAACAAGCCTTCACAAAAAACATAAGCTATACAACATGTAGCAAGGGATGAATTAAATCAATGTGTCAAGTGTTAAATCCCAAACTGAAGGCAAGACAAGCTTTGGGATTCCCACAAAAGAGGAATTTGTTTATTCTTCAGTGGCCCAGTAAGCCTAGCAAATTAAAAAACTCTTCGTTAAACTTCCAGAGAAGGTCCATGGAAAGGCAGACAAAGACAGATCCAAAATAACAGTAACTAACATAATGCTGGATTCTAACGCCCTTTGGGGACTATCAGCTTTTTGGCTTAAAATGCAAGTGTATCACGACGTATTAACGATACCATGATCTTCATCTACTTCAGCCCACAGCATGGTCCCATGCAGATTATTAGTGTCAAATTACACACCCAGGACTTGAATTCACTAACACCCATAGCACCGCTTCATTGTTGCTGTAAATAAAGACAGTCTAACCCTTAAGTCCTCTGCCAGAAAGAGCCCATTATCTTTGACAGTTGTGCAACACCACCTATTCCAGGCCAGCTGACCTGCCCACATGTGCATCTGTTTCAGAAAAATCAAGTTTAAACTCTGTGACACATTGCCTCAGCTTTCAAAGTTCCAAAATAAGTTCTCCTTATAGTGTTCACATGTAGGGAATTCACACAACTGACAGACCAAATTATTGACAATATCTCACTAGTTATTTCCTGTATGTGCCAAAGGCACAGTCATAAAAGCCTCCCAGCTTTTCTTCATACTTCTCAGCTTTGAAACAGGAAAGGATCGATACAGCTATCTCAGGATTAACAGACCTAGGTGCAGGGAAAAAAAAGCAGCTGTTCTGTACCTCAGTAATTATTGCTCAGTATTTATCTGTTTTAAGCAACACCAAGGCAGTATTTGAATTTATGCTGCACTTCAGCAGAGACAGGTTCCCTACCACTAAAGAAAAATCAGCCTTTCCACAGGCAAAAGTCTCTAAAATTTAGCTGGCCATTTTTACCTTAGCCATTACTTTTAACAAGGCAGATTTGTTTAGCTTCCCATTCTCACAGCATTATAGGGCTGTCAAAGTATACGGCTCATACCTACATCCTGTTGTAGAGTAGCTGGGCTGCACATTTTTGTAAGAACTACAGAAGTTTATTAGCTATGCTAAAACACTACTTAAAGAGCCTAGAATTGTTCGAAGACTCACCAGCTACCTCAACAGAACAGTTGTCCCACAAAAGTGATTTTGCTAATAACTGAACTTCAAGACAAACATTTCAAGAAAGCCAATAAAGGAAATCTTGTGTGATCAAAGGTTCTCTTACTATCTCATCTGAAAGAAGCTACCTGCCACCTTGAAGTATCTCCTCCTTCCATAGGAATAACCAACATACCTTTTGGAGACAGTTTAGACAGTGACTGCTCAAAAGTATTTCTACAGAACTGCTTATTTTACTATTTGCACAAATTTAATTTACTACACTCATTTTACTCGGATAATATTTTAGCTACAAGGTATCTGTACAAGATATATCAGCAGAGATAGCACATTGTTAACACTACATATGTAAACCGAGAAACAACAGGTCCTTTCACCAAGGTGTCATATTGCAGGTAAGCCATTTTATGTTAGTCCAAGAGGCTGCAAAACTGCACTTCCACACCAAGGAGACTCCTGGTGAGCCCAACGGAAAAGCTGTGCTCTACAAAGGTGACTGTCCATCGTGGAACAGCAGCAGGAGAAGAATCAAGCAACCAGTGTTTGCGGTAATACTCTTAAGAAGGATTCCATTCATTCGGTGCATATTGCTGTACATAAGGTGCATAAACCTGTCAGGTACGAGATCAGCGTGAAGAGAAGCCAGTTGCAAGGCTGCAACCAACTACTGGTGTCATGTCCCAGATCTGGAAGAAAATATTGTGGAGAATTACATAGCATTATTATAAGACCTAAGTAGTATTTCTGTAATAGGCACAGAAGCAAACATAAAGACCTCCTTGGACACAAAGTAACTAATCGTTTTAAACTATACTTGAGGAAAATGTCATGAAGACTTACATCAGCCTTACAAACCAAAAGCTAAACTTAGGGCTCAAGAGACTCTTTTCACAGTTCTCTGTAGGTCTGTTTTAAAAAGTGTTATGCAGTTTGTTATAAACATGCTTACAGAAAAACAGGGACAGACTGGAACAGTCTCAGTTCTGACATGCATAGCAGATGTATAACAAACACAGCAAGATTCTACATCAGTCTGATTGCCATGTCGCTGTCCCATAACCAGGGCTTTTAGTGGCAGCACTCCAAGAAGCCAGGGAGCTCAGAGTAAAGGAAGCCTGCACATTTCATCATGTCTGTGTCTTTAATCCCATTGGCAGAATCGCCTACTGCTGATGCCTGCTTTGTTTGTCCAGAGGACACCAAGAGTAACCAGTTCTAACAGCTATACTCCATACTCCTGTGGAGTTACAGGTCATTTCCTCATTCAGCTGCAGGAAAAACAGTTTGCAACAAATAGGATTCTTGCTGTCTACAACCATTAGCTTTGTAGCAATAGCTGTCAGAAAGAAAAAAAGTATATACAAACATTAGGTCTCTATTAAATATCTCTAATAAATGCAGGAAAGAGGCACAGGAATACCTTCACAATCCGGTCGCTCCCACAAGTCACCATTAGCCCTCTGGAGATGTCCATGGACATGTGTGAAATGTTGTGTTTTCCTTCATGAAAGGTTGCCAAGGAAGTACGGCTGTACCAGAACAATTCAAATGAAAGCCAGCCATCAGATGAAGCTTGATGGCATCATTATAGCAGTGCAGAATAAACTTACAAGAAAATTAAGTTGCTCAAGTACTAATAAATCAGTCCTGAGAACTGCAATGCCATATTAAAGGGGACAGAATTAAATTAGCAAGTCATGCTAAGGCATTGATTGTGCAGTTATACAGGTGTGACATTTTCTGGCCTTCTGCAGTCTGACTGTTAATAACAATAGAGCAAAAGCAGGACACTGCATTAGTAAATAATTCTACTCTTGGTTATAAAGTCAAGCCCAGTCACACTTTTTCCTGCTGGCTATAGTGAGTCAACAAGGGCACAGCACCTCTCTTTTTCAAAAAAACCCAAACAAACACACACCCCCACCAACAACAACAAAAAACCAAACACACACCACCAACAAAAAAGACCAACAAAAAAAAAATCCACAAAAAACCCCCAAAAACCCAAATTTGCATCTGATTACTTTGGTCCTTTAGCACTCCAAGTGTCCAAGGTGGTGACAACAGTGAAGTGCTGTTCATATTGAGATAAAAAAAGGAGTTCCTTCATTGCTAAAAATGATGTTTAGCCCCATTTGCTTGCATGGGGAAAATACAGTTTGGCTGTGAAGAATATTCCTGTAGAAACTGTTTTCAGTAAGTGTAGATGAACTAACGCATACACATCCTGGAAGCCGTGATGCATTGTCAGTCACCCATTTAGCAATTTTAAGTGCAATCAATAGCCTTTACCTAAAGAGAAATCTTGAGACAAATATGTTTCAACTTGAGATCTGGGCTCATGGAAGAGAAGAAAAAAAGTGGATAAAAAAGTTGTAATACCACATCTGATGCAAATCAGCTTGCAGAGCCAGTGGAGGGATCTCTGCCATTGTAGTGCTTTGAGTACTCAAGGCAAAGGTGGCCTATTAGCAGAGTCAGCTTGGCACGTTTGTGTAGCTTTGTGTGTGGATGTGGAACAAGCACAAGTGTTTCTGCACCTCAGCAGTGTTACTTTAGTTTATTACTCTTTAATACTCACTCTTCATCCTTGATTGACTCAAAACAGGAATCACAGACACGGACCTGGAACTCAAATCCCATGATTGGGTAACTTGACCGTTTGGTACTGCACTTGCCACACACAGCTTGCCCACATTTTCTGCAATGATGCTTCATGGAAGAAGAACACAAATTAAAAAAAAAAATCACTATATTGTGCCACTTGACCACATTACCAAGTATTCACTGAACAACACCACCACAGCTTGTTTTGCAACCTGTTAAGAAGCAAGCTGTTAGGAAGTCTTCTACTACTCCAACCAAAGACTCTGGAGTTCTGAACAGTCTTGGCCATTAATGGGTTTACCTCCATATTCTCCCAGTCCACCCTCTTCTCCTTTTGCAAGCTCCTTCTGGGAGCAGGGGAAAAAGAGGGTTGAACAAGCAACCAAGGAAGTAACAGTCTAAGAAAGCCAGAAAGAAATTAGTGTCTTTTTGCCCGTCCAGTTCCTCCAAGAAGAAAGCTATCTGTAAAGCTTTCACATTCTAGCCCAGTAAGAGCAGGGCCATCACTGCTTCGCTGAACTGAGTACCCAACAACATGTTAGGCTGCAATTTGCTCAGTTATGGGGCACTGTGTGCCAGTTACACAACACTTGAGGATTAGCTGCTCCACAGCTCCATGGCACAGAAATATTCAGAGAAATCCAGAGCACTCCCAACACAGCTTGCTTTGCCCCATGACAGAAGTTTGATGCAACACTTTCCATCAAACTTGGAAATTTGTTAGTGCTGCCTAGAAGCTGTGACCTCTCAAGAAGATCTCACTTCAAAGCAGCAAAAATACCACAGTTTAAAAGATTTAACAGCGTTAGTGGTTTTCTGTTTGCATTTTGCTTAAGTGCTTAGGTACAGCTAAACAGTCAAACCAGAGATCTCACCTGTCTCAACCCTAATGTCTTTGTGTCCCACATTTGCTTTATATTCCAGAAGAAAGGCTGCTCACACTTCTGACAGGAATCACTTTCTAGCCATTGAGGAGCCTACAAAAGAGCAAGAGATGCAAGCAATCAGAATTATTTTTCCTCACACAACAGCCAAGGAAGTTTGTTTTAAGAAACCAAGGTAAAGTTTTACTTGGAAAGATGCTCTGTCTCAGCTCAGGACATTACAACAATAGATTGCCTACTGTACAGTACATAGGAAGTTTAGTACAAAAAAATCTAAACTCAAGCCTACAGTTACTTGTTACCTACACACCTCCTATACTTTTTAAGCCCATAGCAGTATGTTACGTTACTGCCTTAACAAGAAAATTAATTCAAACTTCTAAGTTATTAAACTTGCTACAGGCGTTTGACACCGTCCCAC